ATACCATTCAGCTGCTGAAAAAAACGCGAGGCCTGCAAAGTGTCGGGCCCCTTATTGAAGTGACCAACTACGAGCCACGGAAGCCGCACCGCCTGGAGCAAACCCCCAAGGCGGTGAAACTTGACTTTGTTGTGGCCAGTCACCATGATGCTGGACAGTGCATATAGTACAACCACAATGATTGAGTAGCCTGCCACGTGTAGCACCAAGGGGAGGAAGCCGTCGAGGCCGACCTGGCCTGCCTCGCGGAGGTGCCCAGCAGCAACCCGCGCCTCTGACAAGACGTGCGCCTGGAGGTGCTGCTGGGCCACGAAAAGCTCGCCACCCGCGTTCGCCCTCTCCTCGTACCCGGCTGCCACTGGTCCGGCAGAGGGTGGGGCTGCGTTGCTGTGAAGTCGAAGGTGAGCGTCCCTCGCCTTCTTGTCCCATTCCCTGAGCTCGGACTCGTCGTGCATGCGAGTCTCAGCCCAGGCCCAATAGTCGCACTTGCAATAATTTGATTGGGTGTATTGCCACACCTTGGTGGTGAAGGCCGTGGCACTAGCGTAGAACAACGTCGTAGTGCCCTTGGTGTGGTGGTGGTCTTCTACTGATAGTCAAGCGGCGGCGGCGAGCGTCGAGCCGGCGGACCTCGTGGCCCTCACGAATGCAAAAGAAGCTTGGAACGAATGCAAAAGAAGCCCGCCGCAGGCGCCGAAAATTTTGGGTGGGTCGCGGGGTGGGTCGCGGGTGGGTCGCGGGTGGGTCGCGGGTGGGTCGCGGGTTGGTCGCGGGTGTGTCGCGGGGTGAGTCGTGGGTTGGTCTCGGGGTGGGTCGCCAGTGGGTCGCGCGTGGGTCGCCGATGCAAAAGAAATCCGCCGCAGGCGCCGACGTTTTGGCTTGTTCAGTGAACGTAGTTTGGATCGCGGGTGGGTCGCGGGCTCCCCATCTCCACCTGGAAGGAATTCAAAAACAGCCCGCCGCAGGCGCCGAAAATTTGATTTGTACACTGAACGCGGTTTGGGTCGCGGGTGGGTGGCAGGTTCTCCACCTGGAACGACCTGGAACGAATGCACAAGAAACCCGCCGCAGGCGCCGAAAATTTTGGGTGGGTCGCGGGGTGGGTCGCGGGTGGGTCGCGGGTGGGTCGCGGGGTGGGTCGCGGGTGGGTCGCGAGGCGGGTCGCGGGTGGTCGCGGGGTGGGTCGCGGGTGGGTCGCGGGTAGGTCGCCGGTGGGTCGCGGGTGGGTCGCCGGGGGGGTCTCGGGTGGTCGGGGGTGGGTCGCGGGTGGGTCGCGGGGTGGGTCGCGGGTGGGTCGCGAGGCGGGTCGCGGGTGGTCGCGGGTGGGTCGCGGGTGGGTCGCGGGTAGGTCGCCGGTGGGTCGCGGGTGGGTCGCCGGGGGGGTCTCGGGGTGGGTCGCGGGGTGGGTCGCGGGTGGGTCGCGGGTGGGTCGCGGGGTGGGTCGCGGGTGGGTCGCGGGTGGGTCGCGGGTGGGTCGCGGGGTGGGTCGCGGGTGGGTCGCGAGGCGAGTCGCGGGTGGGACGACGACAACAACAAAAAACAATCAGCCTCAACAACAAAAATCCGCATCGCGGAATTCCACTTCAGCCACGCACCCAGGGACAGTGAATGACCGTTCGGTTCAGCCCCCTCACTCTGATAAAGACGAGGATTGTCGATGTGAATGGACATGAGCGTTTCGCCTGGGGCATCCCGAAAAAGTAAGATGTCGAACGAGGTGTTGTAGTACCTCTGCTCATCAAAAATAGCGCTTTCGCGAGGGACATCTTCAGAAAGTGAGCAGAAGCACGGCAGACCAACACGACCAGCACGGCAGATGAGGCCCCATTTCGTTGGGGACATCTTCAATCAAACGATTTGGTCTCAACATCGTCTTCGTATCGTCCTTGAATTTGTAAAGTTGAAGAACAAGAGCCCCAAAGGACCCGAGGATGGCTCCAGGAGCGCCCTGCAGACTGCCGAACATGACGATTTCGCTAGACATCTTCAAAACATGACATGACGACATCGCTAGGGACTGCTGAACATGACGATAACATATGTTTGAAAAATGTTGGTCGAACATCGTCTTGGAATCGCCTTCGAAAAGGCGTCAAGACGACCGAAATTGGCCCTTCTAAAAACGGTAATGTCGCTAGGGACATCCCTAAAAAGGAGATGTGTCTAGCATCGCATTTGAACCATGCTTGATGGCATAATATACGGCCCCAAAGACCCAAAAGCTAGCTTCAGTATGACCCCAAGAGCGCCCTCAAGACGACCGAGAACGACAGTGTCGCTAGGGACATCCTCACCGACTAAGAATTCACCAGCGCTGGTTTCAGCAAAAACAAGCGTTTCGCCTGAGACATCCTCCAAACGCGCATACTGGAGGATCCGCCCTGCGACGATGCTCCCAACAAGTGCGGCTCTGGCTGCAGACATCATCAGGAGCATGATACGTTGCAATTGCTTGCGAATTCTTCGTTTCTTTAAAAGAGAGGCTCTCGCTGCCGACATCCTCGAAAAAATGCAGCTCTAGTTGAGGTGTTTTCGACGCTATCTATGTAAAGATGAAGCTCGTGCTGGTCTGCCGTGCTGGTGTGCCGTGCTGCCGTGGTTTGTTATGGTCGTGTGGTCTGCCGTGCTGGTCAGCCGTGCTGGTGTGGGCTGCCATGTTCTTGTGGTCTGACGTGTTGGTCTGCCGTGCTAGCCTGCCGTGCTGGTCTGCCATGCTGGTCTGCCGTGGTGCTATGGTCTGCTATGCTCGTGTGGTCTGCCGTGCTGGTCTGCCGTGCTGGTCCGCTATGTTCGTGTGATCTGCCGTGCTTGTCTGCCATGCTGCTGTGGTCTGCCATGCTCTTGGGGTCTGCCGTGCTGGTGTGCCGTACTGGGTTGCCGTGTTGGTCTGCCGTGCTGTGGTCGTCTGCTATGCTCGTGTGGTCTACCGTGTTGGTCTGCTATGCTCGTGTGGTCTTCCGTGCTGGTGTGCCGTGTTGGTGTGCCGTGCTGTTGTCCCCTGCTATGATCCTGTGGTTTGCCGTGCTGGTCTGCTGTTCCGGTCTGCCGTGCTGTTGTGGTTTGTTATGGTTTTGTGGTCTGCCGTGCTGCTCCGCCATGCGGATCGTCTGCTGCGCTGGTCTGTCGTGCTGGTCTGCCATGCTGCTGTGGTCTGCTATGCTCCTGTCGTCGGCCGTGCTTGTCTGCCGTGCTGCTGTGGTCTGCTATGCTCCTGTCGTCTGCCATGCTGGTCTTCCGTGCTGCTGTGGTCTGCCATGTTGGTCTGCCGTGCTGGCTTTCCGTGTTGGTATGTCGCGTTTCTGTGGTCTGTTGTGTTCCTGTTGTTTGCTGTGCTGCTGTGGTCTATTATGCTCCTGTGGTCTGCCGTGTTGCTCTGCCGTGCTGCTCTGCCGTACTGCTGTGGTCTGCCGTGCTGCTGTGGTCTGCCGTGTTGGTCTGCCGTGCTGGCCTTCCGTGCTGGTCTGTCGTCTTGTTGTGGTCTAGCATGCTCCCCTGGTCTGCCGTGCTGGTCTGCTGTGCTGTTGTGGTCTGCCATGCTCCTATGGTCTGCCGTGCTGGTCTGCCGTACTGCTGTGGTCTGCCGTGCTGCCGTGATCTGCCGTGCTGGCCTGCCGTGCTGTTGTGTTCTGCTATGGTATCGTGATCTGCCGTGCTGGTCGGCCGTGCTGGTTTGGTCTGCGATGCTCCCGTGGTCTGCCGTGCTGGTCTGCTGTGCTGGTCTGCCGCGCTGGTCTGCTGAGCTGGTCTGCCGTTCCGCTGTGGTCTGCTATGCTCTCGTGGTCTGCCATGTTCACGTGGTTTGCCGTGCTGGTCTTCCGTGCTGCTGTGGTCTGCTATGCTCCTGTGGTCTGCACGCAGCCCGCACGCACACCGTACTCCCCCCCCCGCCCGCCCACCCAGCACACACGCAGCACGTACACGCAGCAGTCCACAGCAGCATTGTTGGCAGCACCAGAGACCATCACGGCACACCACAGGGGCACGGCAGACAAGCACGGTAGACCACGGGAGCACGGCAGACCAACACGACAGACCGCAGCAGCACGGTTGACCAGCGCGGCAGACCACAGCAGCACGGCAGACCAACACGACAGAACAGCGCAGCAGACCAAAGCAGTTGATCCGATGGGATCTGTGTTGGTCGTGTGCGATACGTTTCTGAGTTTCTTTGACGTTCTCAACCTGACGTTGTCTGACAAGCTTCGTGGACAGAGTTGCGCTTCCCGTTCTTGTCTGGTCAGGTTTCTGAAAAATTGCCGTTTCGTTCCAATCGGCCCCGGAGGGGATTCCGAATCGATTTCGTCGTCGAATCGCTGCCAGAGGGATTTCGAATGGCCCAAGGGAGGCCCAAAAGACGCCCCGGAGGGCCCCTGGCGCGCCCAAGAGCACCCCAAGAGGACCCCAAGAGACCCCCAAGAGCGGTCGAGGAGGCACCCGCTCACAAGAACACCAAGACGGCCCAAGACGGGCCAATAGGGCCCCAAGAGACACCCGGAGGCCCCGAAACGGCCCAAGAAAGTCCCAAGACGGCCTAAGATGGCACCGAGACGGCCCAAGAAAGTTCCCGAAGAACCCCACGACGCGCCCAGACAGCCCAAGAATAGCCCAGAAGCCCACAAGAGGACATAAGAGGCCCCCAAGAAGCTCCCAACAGGCCCCAAGACAACCCCGCGCGGCGCCAGGAGCCCCCAAGGTAGCCCGATAGGGTCACCAGGACCCTCTCCTGATGCAACGTCCTTCTCCAATTGCCTCTTACTGTCCTCCGTTGTCGTCGTCATCGTCCTCCACATTCCTCCTCGTACTCGCCCTCGTTCTCTTCGACCTCGTCCTTGTGCCCACTTAGCCCTTAGCCCATTGGACTAAAGCGGCGCTCTTCCCGTTCTTGTCCGATCAGGGTTTCCAGAGGGGGGGCCCCCCTCTCGTTCTGGGGGTGGGGAGGTGGGTTGACCCCCCCCGTTGCCAGCAGCGTTGGAAAGCGTTCTTTCAAAGTCATGTCTCAGGCTGACATGATGAACATGCTCGACACGAACGAGGGCCTCAAGAGTCGCATACAGCACTTCTTGGAGTTCCCCGATTGGAAGACCAAGGACTGTGTTGCGTGCTTCAAGGCGAAAGCACGCGACGAGAATTTCGCGTTTGATGGCGCAGCTGTCGACGCAGCTATCGATGCCGTCCTCGCCAAGGGCTTCCAGAAGCTGCTCCCGCTCAAGGGTTGGGGGAATGCGCGGGACGTGCAGAAGGTTTGGGAGATGGCCAAGCAGGTTCGGGCCGATCGTGTCATCAGAGCTGGCGCTGACCATGACGGCGATAAAACGCTCGAGGAAGCCGACGTCAAGTTCGCCATTGATCGGCTCATTGCAGCACGGATGGGAAGCGGGGGCATGTCTCGTGACACTTGTGACGATTCCGACCCATTCGAGGCTCTCGATAAGTTGTATCGCATGGAGCAGGTGAGTCGAACCCAAAGGCGTTATTAACCCCACTCGTGTATTTCGCGCCGTCCCTCTAATGCGGGAAACTATTGAGGAGTCCGTGTGATGCGAATCCGTTCTGAAATACATGTAAGTATGATTGCAAATAAGTTGTAAGTATACGCATCATTTTTGTTGAATCGAATGCGCGTCAAATGTGAGCCGCATGTCATTCGGCTCGCATTTGAATCAATTGTGTAAATCAGATATACATGGTTGTCGGTGCCTCTTGGGGAGCCTCGTGGTCTCGGGGCCGTTTTGAAGCTGCTGCGGGCTGTCCTGGAGCTGGTCATTTAGCCTTTTGAGGCCTTTTGGGGAGCCATTTTGGCATCGTCAACAGCAGTTGGCGAGTAGATTGAACGGACACCCAGAGTTATCAATAGTCGTTGTTTCTCTTAACAAAGCGGTGGTGATAGGGAGGCGCAGGTTTGGATGGTTGTCCTCGCAGGTGAAGGAGAAGCTGGAGCAGCTGCAGGCCACGCACAAGATCGCTCTGAAGGACGGCGAAGATCCGCCGCCTGTCGGCCACTTCGTTTTCTCCGGCGCCCCCGGGACCGGGAAGACGACGGTTGCCCGCGCGACCGCCAACATTCTTTTCAGGTTGGGATTGATCAACCGAAACAATGTAGTGGAGACGTCGGGCTTGAAAATGACAGGGCAGTACGTAGGCGAGACGAAGACAAAGGTCGATGAGCAGTTGAACAAGGCCAGTGGTGGCGTTCTCTTCATCGACGAGGCCTACGAGTTGGGCAAGGGCCAGTATGGAAGCGAAGCTTGCTCAGCACTAGTCGCTGCGATGACAGATCCGCAATACGACGGCTTAGTGATCATCCTCGCGGGGTACAAGGCCGACATGGACCAGATGCTCAACACGAACGCAGGCCTGAAAAGTCGCATCCAGCATTTCATGCCGTTTCCAGACTGGACATCGAGGGATTGCGTGAGTCATTTCTTGAGGAAGGCGAAGGCGGGTGCTTTCACATTCGAGTGCGGCTCCGAGACAATCGAAGGGATCTTGAGCAAGGGTTTCGAGAAGTTGTTGCCGCTGGACGGTTGGGGCAATGCCCGCGACGTCGAGAAGGTGTGGGAAGCTGCCAAGCAGTCTCGGGCTCGACGTCTAACAAGCGAGGATGGCGATGTTGGCAAGTCATTTGCCGATGTTGACATCCGAGCAGCAATTGACAGTCTGATCGACATGAGGATGGGCACCGCTGGCACCAAGCACGACAGCGGCGACAAATCTGATCCGTTCGACACATTGAAGAAGTTGTACCGGATGGAGCCAGTGATACGGAAGTTGAGGCAGTTGGAGGACACGTACATCATGGCGAAGCGCGAAGGGGACGACGCGCCACCTTTAGGACATTTTGTTTTCGTCGGCAACCCTGGGACTGGAAAGACCACTGTCGCTCGTTCTGTGGCTGGCATTCTGTTCCGCATGGGACTCATCGCCCGAGATATCGTGGTCGAAACTTCGGGTCTCAATTTGACGGGCGAGTATGTCGGTTCCACTAAGAAAAAAGTCGAAGGGGAGCTCGACAAAGCGAAAGGTGGAGTCCTCTTCATCGACGAAGCCTACGAATTAGGTAAGAGCCACTTCGGTATTGAAGCTTGTTCTGCCCTCGTCGCTGCAATGACAGACCCGAAGTACCTTGGCGTTGTCATCATCATCGCCGGCTACCGCGCCGAGATTTCTGACATGCTTGACACGAATCCTGGGTTGAAGAGCCGTTTCAATCATTTCATGGAGTTTCCCAACTGGGAGCCCAGCGATTGCGTCGACTTGTTCCAGAAGCGCGCATCCCACGGCAGTTACGACGTTGATCCAGAGGTGCAGGGCATCTTGGAGGCGGGTTTCGGGAAGCTCGTGGGGCTGGACGGCTGGGGCAACGCGAGGGACGTCGACGATATTTGGAAGGCTCAGGGGAGGAAACCACACAGTGCCATTTTTAATACATGCTCCGCGTGCGGAGCATGCATTAAAGATAAAGGGTTGATTAATAAGTACAAGGATGAGTTTATGCATTAATTTATTCATAAATTAATGTTGTATGAAAAATCCGATATGTTTAAACATCCTATGTATTAAACACTGCCCTGTACCGGTACCGCTGCCTCCTCGTTGCGCCACGGCTGGATTCGCCTCCAGCTCATGGTCAGAGCCCGGGTCACCCGCAGGGGCACGAAGGCCCTCGCGGTTCGCGCATCGCGGCCTGGGGTCGGCGAGGCGCCCTCCTCCAGGGCGGCGGCTCGGGTGCGCGAAGAGACGGCCGCGCGGCGCGCCTCGCGGGGCGCGCTGCGCGGAGGTAGGCGACCTGGAGGACGCAGCTGGCGAGAGGCCTGCGGAGTGACGGCCCCTGGTGCCTCTCTGCCCCCCCGCCCCCCAGAGAGGCGGCCCTGCGCGAGCGGGCCACGCGCGTCGTTCGCCTGCCAGAGGGGGCCGCGGAGGCGCGGACGCTGACGCCGGCCGACGTGCGGCCGGCGCTCGAGGATCGGGACGCTGGAAGCAGGTACGGAAAGCATGGGTCTACGCCTCCTAGATGGGGTCGGAGCAGATGGGGTCGCAGGATCGCGCCGCATCGACGATGCATCGCCGATGCGGCTCGATGCGGAGCCCGATTTTCCCCACGCTGACGTCGCCGATGCATCGCCAGTGCATCGCCGATGCATCGGCGATGTATCGCCGATGCGGCGCGATCCTCCAACCCCATCCACTCCGACCCCATCTAGGAGGCCTCTAATGGGTGCGAAGACTGACAGCAGTTCCTGTCCGTCTTGAACACGATTCGTTGTCGGTGTCACCGCGGACGTTGTCCAGTTGAGGATAAAACCCGCCTGCCCAACAGCGGCCGCTGGGACTGTTGGACAACATGTGCTGTTGGTATCGTACAGTTGAAATCAACGATAAGGACGCGTACCCATCGGTCGTTGAAAGTAGGTATTCTTGGATTCCCAGAACCCAATCTACTTTGAGGGCTTTCCTAATTACTTGAAGAGTCGAGCGCTTGTCCTTCTTCCCTCGTCTCCAGGGGGTGGGCGGGAGCCCAATCTACTTCCAACGCCTTCCTACTCCATGTGTTTGCTCACTTCTTCCGACCGCTGGGTAACGTTCTTGCCTCTTCGCCCTACCCTTTTTACCATTTTCAGTGGCCGGCCCTGCTCGAAGAAAAGCTTCGGCATGCGGCGCCTAGGGGAGTTGCATCCTCATCGCGCAGCCTTACTATCAGTTGTGACTGCGCTCGCTACTTGAATCGCTTCGCTCATTCTGCCAGCCCGTGTTTCAGGAGGGGAAGAAACACACAGACATAATTAATCATCGATTCCCAAGAAAATATGCGAAAATATGGGAAATGGGGGGGAAACAAAAACCCAGAAAATATGGGAAAATATTGATATACGGGAATCCTGTCATTTGTGTGTATTTATCTGTGTGTCCCAGGGCCCCTTCAGTGTTGTGCCATCGCAGGCATTTGCCTGCGCGTTCGTGGCCTCTCGGGGCCTCTTGGATTTCGCTTGGGGGCCTCTTGTTGGGCCTCTCGTTGGGCCACCCGGGAGCCTCGTGAGGCCCCCAGGGGGCCGCCTGGGCTCTCGTGGGGTCCTCCCGGGGGCCTCTTGGGGCAGAAGGCTCGGACATTCGGTGGCTCGTGCTCACCGTCGTGGGCCTCTCTTGGGGCCGTCTTGGGGCCCTCTTGAGCGCTCTTGGGCGCCCCTGGGTCCGTCTCGGGGCCCTCTCGGGCTCTCTTGGGCCCACCTTGGGGGCGTGCGGGACCGTCCGGGGGCGATGCTGGAGGCCTCCCCGCACCCTCGAGGCGGGCCGGTCCCTCTACAGGAGGAATACTCAGAACCAGTCGAAAAGAGTAGTCTGGGGACGATCTTTCGTTCTTTTTCTTTGAGAGCATGTCTTGGATGTTTTCTAGCTGCTTTCCATTTTTCGTCCGAAATCGCCCTGTAGGTGGACATGCCCGGCCCGACCTAACCGTAATGGAGGATGATGATTAAAAAATGGCCGGGGGTCGTGTTCACGCGGCGGCGCCCGGGATGATGATTAGAAAAAACCGGCCCCGGGCTGGGAAACTATTTTTGTTCATCGTCCCCCCCCGCCGTCCTCGGGCGCGCGCCCCCCCCCGGTGACGAAACACCGCACAGGCGAGCCCTGCTTCTGAGCGTTCCCCCCCGGTGTGGGAAACTATTTGTTTCATCGTTCCCCCCTCCCTTTTGTCTTGATCGTCATCCCACATTACCCACTTCGGGCGCCCAGCACGCCGCCCCCCCATTCCTTGCACGCCGCCCCCCTCGCGCCCCCCCTCCTCCTCCTCCTCCTCCTCCTCCTCCTCCTCCTCCTCCTCCTCCTCCTCCTCCTCCACCTCCTCCTCCTCCTCCCTCCTCCTCCTCCTCCTCCTCCTCCTCCTCCTCCTCCTCCTCCTCCTCCTCCTCCTCCTCCTCCTCCTCCTCCTCCTCCTCCTCCTCCTCCCTCCTCCTCCTCCTCCTCCTCCTCCTCCTCCTCCTCCTCCTCCTCCTCCTCCTCCTCCTCCTCCTCCTCCTCCTCCTCCTCCTCCTCCTCTCCTCCGCCTCCTCCTCCTCCTCCTCCTCCTCCTCCTCCTCCTCCTCCTCCTCCTCCTCCTCCTCCTCCTCCTCCTCCTCCTCCTCCTCCTCCTCCTCCTCCTCCTCCTCCTCCTCCTCCTCCTCCTCCTCTTCCCCAGGGCCCGATCTAACCGTACCCACTTCGGGCGCCCAGCAAGGAGAAGATCGGCTCCCGAGAGGCGGGCGCCGCGGGCGGGCCCCGCAGCAGGCCGGCCTGGGCGGGCGGCCCCTGGCCCGCGGCGCCGCCGCCGGCCGCTGGGCCCGCGCCGCCTGGGGGCGAGCCTGGGAGGCCAGAGGAGGAAGGCCTGCAGAGGATCGGGGAAGAGAGGAAGCTGTGGGGCTCTGGGAAGGATGGACCCCCTCCTCCTCCCTCCTCCTCCTCCTCCTCCTCCTCCTCCTCCTCCTCCTCCTCCTCCTCCTCCTCCTCCTCTCGGGCAAAACCACCGAGGCGGGAGCGCCAGCCCCGGAGCGAAGCAGGCACGAACCCGGGAAATCGCCAGCACTCGAACCCAGGGCGCCCGAGAACACCCACCCACGGGAAGGGGAAGCATGCAGCGGATCGGGGAAGAGAAAGCTGCATAAGAGCATAGACTTCTCGGAGCTCCGCGCGGACCTCTTGGACCGGCGCCGGGTCCACCTGGCAGCGCCTCCGGCGCCGCCCTTGGGCGCGCTCCGTGCGCCAGGGAGGGGATTCCGGCGCCGATCCCGAAGAACGCGCGGAGCTCCAGAAGTTCATATTAATGCTGCCTCTTTTTGTCCTTCTTATTTTTACGCTTCTTCTTATTATTCGCCTTCTTCTTCTTCTTGTTCCTCTTCTTCCTCGGGGGCGGCGGCAAAGAGGGGGGTGAAGACTGGGGGGGGGGGGGATATCATGGCGTGGGCCATATGATATTTCCCCAGATTTCATGGCGCCTCTTCTTATTTCATTACGTCCCTGGCCCCCCCCTGGGCCGCGCACATGCCGCCGGTCATGAGTTGCACCCCCCCCCTCTTGGACGCCCCCCTCTTGGCCGCCCCCGACTTCCGGGGGGAGAGAAGCAGGGACCACCGCCAGCGAGAGTCCAGGGGGGAGGGGGGCGCCGACCCCTGGGCGTGGGGACGCGCGAGTATCGCCAGTTGCTGGGTGGCGCTCGGGCGTGCCGCCGCCCAGGTCCTCGGAGAGGTGCCGGTATACCCGTCCCTCGTCGCCGCGGCTGGCTTCGCCTCGAGATCTTGGCCAGGACGCACTCCTGGAGGTGTCTTTGGAGCAGCGGCGTGGGCATCTTGTTGTCTCCTCCCACGGGAGGAGCGCGCAGCCTCCTCCTCCTCCTCCTCCTCCTCCTCCTCCTCCTCCTCCTCCTCCTCCTCCTTGGAGTGTGGGTATTTTGTTGTCCCCCCCCCCACGGGAGGAGCGCGCAGCCGCCAGTGGACCAGCGGGAGGCCGAGAGGCAGTCGGCAGCTCACGAGGCCCGGGCGGGGGGGGGGGGGGTAGATTGTGCCAAAGGTTTGTCTGAGACAGCAGCTCTTCCCAAGGGCCCCTGGAGACCAGGACACTGATAAACCAGGACACGGAAAACCAAGTAAGCGACGCCCTCTCTTGCAAAGCCACATTTTCCAACACCCGTGCATTGTTTGTTTGCTGCACTGCAGGATTCGGGTTCGTGTCCAGGTTAGGGGGGACCTTCAGGGCTTTTAGGGTCTATGTCCGGGTTCATTCTGGAAATGCTACAGTGCAGTATCGTGTTCGTGCCGCCGTCTGTAAAAAATGGTTTCGAGGGATGTTGGGTGTCCGGGTCTACCGTGTCAGGGTTTACGGGGCCTTACCAGCTGCATGCGGCAAGCTCCGCCACCGTGCCAGCGCCACATTCTGTGTGGCAACGCTTTGAGCATCGCCCAGAAGACCGGAACCTGTGACACCTCTCGTCTCTATTCCATGAAGGGCTATGATGATGCACACGTCGGTTGTCTTGGGGTTGTCTGGAGCCTTTCTGGGACCATATTGAGCCGTCTGGGGGCCCTTTTCGGCCGACTTGGTGACGTCTTGGGCCCCTCTCGGCCATCTGGAGGTCGCTTAGGGCTGTATTGGGGATCCCTTCAGGCCGTTTTGAGTCTGTGCTAGGGGCCTTTGGGAGGGATAAACTTCGACGCAAGGAAACGGGCCAAACCAACGAGACGGGAGCGCGAGCCCTGGAGCGAAACAAGCACGAACCCAGGAAACCGCGAGCACTCGAACCCAGGACGCCCGAGCACCCACCCACGGAAAAGGGAAACGCGCGATCCCCGGAAAGCACGACGCATCCCCCGAGAGCGAGTGGAGGAAGGGCCTTTCTGGCCCGCCTGACGCCGTCGATAGCCGTCTTGGCAGCCTTTCTGGGCACGCCGGGGGCCCTCCTGGCGCGCTGCAGGGCCGTCTCGGAGGCCATCCTGGGCGTCTTGGAAGTGTCCCAGGCCGCCCTGGGGCTGTCCTGGGGGCCTCTCGGGCCGTCGGTGGCCCGTCTCGGAGGCCCCTCGGGCGCTCTCGGGGCCATCTTGGTGACCTCTGCGGCCACCTTGGGCTGTCGGAAAGCCGAAAATAGCAGACCCCACAAGCCGTCAAAAGCCTCAAACAAATAAGCGGCGTTGGCCGCGTCGGCCCTTCTGCAGGACCTTTTGAGGGCCCCGTGTGCCGTCCTGGGCCATCTCGAGGCCATCTGAAGCCGTTTTGTCTGCATCATGGGCCGTCTTGAAGGCATCCTGCGACAAGCTTGGGCTCTCTCTCTTGGGGCCATTCTGGCCGTCTTGGAGGCCATCTTGGGTGTTAGGGGGGCTTCTTCGGCCATCTGTGGGCCCTCCTGGGGCCGTCTTGGGGGCCTGCTGTGCCATCAGGTGGACATTTCGGGGGCCTCTTGGGTGATCTTGAAGCGATTTGGGAGACCTCTCGGGCCGTCTTGGGCCGTCGGAAGACTGGAAAGGAGCAAACGCTGAAGCCGCTTAAAATCAGAGGAAGTTAATGATTTTGGCCTCGTCAAGCCGTGGGCCGTCGGAAGGCCGATAATAACGAAATCCCAGAATCCTTTAAAACATACCTAATGGAACTAAAAGAGGTTCAGCCTCTTCGGGCATTAATCAAGGACCTCTTGGACGCCTCTCGGGCTGTCTTCGAAGCGTTTTGGGGGCCTCTTGCGCTGTCTTGGGTCATCCTGAAACCATCTTGGGCTGTCTTGGGGCCATCTTGGGATTTGGGGGACACCTTGGCCGTTTTGGAGGCCACCTTGGCAGTCTTGGAGTCCATCTTGGGCCACCTTGGCAGTCTTGGAGTCCATCTTGCTCCCAGGCCACTCGTGCTGTATGCCTGCTAAGCTTTAGATCGACGCTCAAGAGTTCTGCCTCCAGACGCGCACAGCGCACTGAGGTCCAGCAGGTGAGAATTCAAGCCGCCCGAAGACTCCAGAGGCTTTCCAGGGGCCTCCCAGAGCTCCCAGCGGCTGCCATTGGCCTTTTCGGCTCCTATGGGGAACGGGGCCTTCCGGAACGCTGGAGGCTTCCAGAGAGTCCCTCGGGAGGTCTCCTCCACCGGCAGGTCCAGCAGGGCCACTCCTGAAGACCAATACGGCGACAGACGATATGACAGTTGTTCGCGACCCAGAGACTCCAGAGCGGGCTCCTTCCCAGACGCCCCCGGGCATGGCGAGCGGCACCAGCGCAAATGAAGCGCCTCGCGCGAGTACCTGCGAGGCTCCTCCGACACGCCCCCGGCTGGATGTAGGAACCCCTTCTCTTCCGCTCCCCTCCCCCCCCTGCCCCACGCTCCTCTCCCACCCTCCTCTCTCTCCCCTTCCCCTCCCTGGCCCTCCCCTCCCCCTCCCCTCCTCCCCCTCCCCTCCCCCCCCCTCCCCCTTCCCCGGCTTGACGGCGCCCCCCCCCCCCTCCTCTCCCCCCTCTCCCCTCCCGAGGGGGGTTGGGCCAGGGGCGCCGCCCCCGCGCCCCCCGCGCCCCCCGCGCCAGCAGGAGGAGGAGGAGGAGGAGGAGGAGGAGGAGGAGGAGGAGGAGGAGGAGGAGGAGGGAAAGGAGGAGGATAGGGAGGAGGATGAGGAGGAGGAGGAGGAGGAGGAGGAGGAGGACGCCCGCCCGCGCCCCCCGCGCCGGGCCCGGCCTCCGACGCCCCCCCGCGCCGAGGCCGCGGCCGCGGCGGAGGACGAGGCCGCCCTGCGGCCCGCGCCCGAGGAGTGCGCCTGCCACGGCCAGGGTCCTCCGGGCGCTGGGGGGAGCGGGCCGTGTCCTCCCTCCTCCTCCTCCTCCTCCTCCTCCTCCTCCTCCTCCTCCTCCTCCTCCTCCTCCTCCTCCTCCTCCTCCTCCTCCTCCTCCTCCTCCTCCTCCTCCTCCGTAGCCATTTTGGCTCAAGACGGAGCTTACCTCCCGTCCCGACTCCAGAGGCTCGAGGCCGAGGTGGAAGGGCAGCCCCTTCCTGAGGCCTGGCTGCCTCGGCCAGCTTTCAGGTTCCTTGGTGAACCGCTCTTCTTCGTTTTCCGTGAGCTCCTGTTGGAGCACCTGGCCCGATCCCACCCTGGGCGCAGCTGGGTGATGGGCTGGGTCTATGCGCCGTGGACCAAGCAGCTGCCGCCTCGGCGAGGTGTCCTTGGCCCGCAAACGAAGCAGGCGTACAGCGTTTGTGCGCTCTGTGGGCACTGGGAGTACGATTTCCATGGACACAAGTGTTGCTCCAAGTGCAAAGGAGAGTACCTCGGCCAGCCGCATAATGCAGTTCGTGATGTTGGTGACAAGCGCGGCGTGGGCCGTTGGCGCAAGAGCAGAGGGCAGGTGCAAGGCCCTTCGCTGGACGACGAACTGGAGAGGCTGGCCACACTTTTCCCTGATCGCGCTGAAGCTCTTCGAGGTGCTCGTGGTCAAGGTCCGCACGCTCCTGGCCCTGAGCCTGTGGCGTCGTCTGACGACGAGCTGGACAGGAAGGTGGCCAAGCAGCGTACTGCCCTTGCCATGGCTGTTGAGCGTGATTCCAAGGCTGAGCGTTTGGCACTACTTGAGGTGGAACATCGTCTGGCGGCTGTATTACGCCATAAAGACGCCCTGGCCAAGGCGGAGATGGCGCACGCGGAGGCTGTCCAGCACCTGGAGAGCGCCGCCGCGGCCCACAAAGCAGCCTACGTTGAGTTGGACAAGTTTGACCCTCTGGAGTTCAGACGGCAGGTGGTGGCTGAAGAACAAGCTAAGCGTGATCTACATGAGCGTGAGTGCCGCGCTGCTGGTGCTAAAGGACATGGCGCCCCTGATGCAGGGGGTCCTCATGATATGCAAGTTGATGGTGATTCCCCTTCCGTTCGACCTGGGCACGTTCAACCCCCCGCTGGTGGCCATCCTGCTGCTAGCGAAGTTGGAGGAGTTGCTGGCCCAGATCCTGAGCCCCCAGGCATTGTGGTTATGTCTCGTCAAGAATTGCAAGATTGGTGTACTAAGTTCAACCAGCGCTTCGAGTTCTGGTTGCAGATCAAGGAGTTCAGGACCCACCTGGATGAAGACGCGGCTTCTGAAGCTCCTTCTGAATTGGGAGATGAGGAGCAGAATCGCGCCGAGCTTGAGCAGCTCAAGAAGCGTAGTATCGATGCAGCATTATCCCCAGAAGAGTTGGTCAAGCTTGAGAAGCTCATGCAGAAGCAGTCCCACATCAAGGCCGCCAAGCGTCTCCGTACTGTTCGAGATGGCGCCGCGGCCTCTTTCAACCGTGCGTTGGAGCAGATGCAGCCAGGCGCCGCTGGACCTGTACGTTCACAAGCTGGCGGTGGGCAAGCATCTGGTTCACAGCGTTCCTAGCCAACATGGTGCGATGGAGGCGTCGAGTCTTCGCAATCCGTCCTCGGCGATTGAGTTGATGTTCTGCAATATCACATCATGGAATCAGGTGACATTGGATTTATTGCAACATATCAAGCCCTTGTGCGATGGCTTCTTTGTTGCGGAGCATCATCTTCTGAAGGACCTCCCGCGCGCCAAACGCAATGCAGCTCAGATTGGCTGGAGGCCGCATCTGAGGCCAGCCCTCCCCTCCCCTGGAGGGGGTACTCATGGAGGAGTAGGAGCTGTGGTTTCCAAAGGTTTGTGTTTCCGACGTTTTTTGTCCTCGGATCCGAGCTTGTCAGATTTTGGCAGCGGCCTCAATTGGCAATTTTTGGAGCTCAAAACCAAAGAATGTGTCATTGCTGTAGGTGCGATATATTTGATTGCTGACCTGGTTTTTTTTTGTCTGGGGAAAACATCGAGCGCATCCGTGCCGTTTCCGAGTTCCTTGGGACCCTCGCCATTCCCTGGCTCTTGATGGGAGATTTCAACGTACTCGTGAGCGACATGGACCTGTCTGGTTTCCCGAAGCTTGCTCGTGCACGCTGCCTAGTTCCAGAAGATGTCGGCTTCACTTGTACCCAGGGACGCGGCACACTTATTGACTATGTGATTGCTTCCAGCGACTTGGCTGATTACGTTCATGCTAGTACGTATACTCATAGCCCCTTTAAAACTCATGTCTGCCTGAAAGTTTGCATTCAACATGAAGCTTTGTAACAACACATGTGACAACGCGGTAAGTCTATACCGTTCCCGAATTGTCCTGGGCCTGATTTACCCTGGCCACAGCATCTCCTAAACGCCGCTGCGAGTCTCGGGCGAGAAAGAGTGCTGCCTGAAGTTCCGGGGTATCTTTACAATGCACTGGTGCCGCATGTTCAGGGCAATTTAAGTGAGAAGCTTACGTCTTTGTATCGCACTTGGTCTAGAGCGACCGAAGCCATGTTTGAGTCTCGTGCGGTTGCAGTCGACCACAGTGCGTGCCAGGTAAAACGATGTGAATTTCCAGTTTTTCGGCGCGCGGCGATTGGTCGGACGGGCCCTGCTGGCCAAAGTTTTCGCGAACCAGAACTGGCTCATTGGGCCAAAGTTTCTCAAAAGATGTACGAGCATCGACTTTACCTGGCAAGAAAGTCGTTGCACATGGTCGCGAGCTCAGGTAGCGTCCTACAAGGTTTAGCTTTGCAGCTGGACAAATACACCTGTGCCGACGATGCGTACGGCATCGGCTGGTGGCGCGCCCAGTTTTGTTCGCTTCCCAACGAGGTCGAAGGACTCGACACCTTGACGGGCGCTATTTCTACTCGAGTGAGTGCTGCCTGGAAGGCTGCAAGGAGCTTGTCCAGAGCTCGGATGAAAGACTGGCTCCTCAAAGCCCTTCCCAAAGGTGCGAAAAAAGGTGCACGCTTGGTTGAAACATGACCTTGGGGAACCGCCCCAAGTCCTGCTGGCCCCTCAAGGGGTCCGTCAGCTCCCTGGGGATCTTGGGATATCGGCAGGCTTTCTGGAGCCAAGTTTGGGATTCCCCAGACGGGATGTCTTTGCTCTCAGGAGTGCTGGATGCGCTCAGACCTCGCGCCCTCATGTCCCTTGAGGTTTTGGACCCCTTGGAACCCATCGATGTGTTGAGAGCTGCGAGGTGTTTTTCTAACACTACTGCGGTTGGGGTCGATTCTTGGGCTCCTCGGGTGTTGGTTGACTTACCTCGAGACGCTGTTTTGGGGTACACGCATCTCCTCAATCAGTGTGAAGCTTCGTTGTCCTGGCCTCCCCAGGTTTTTCTCAGTGTTATAGCTTTGCTTCCTAAGAACATAGAGTGTGATCGTCCGATTTGTAAATGCCCCTCCCTGTACAGGGTGCACTGCAAGGCTCGTAATTATGATCTTGATAGATGGACGCTAGACAGGTATAATTATTGGGACACCGCAGTGAGAGGATCCAGCGCGATCCAGGCCGTCTTACTTCGCGAGCTCGGCCATGAGATGGCTCGCATGTTGGGGCTCTGCTCGGTCGGAGCCCACTGGGACCTCAAGCGTTTTTTCGACACTGTCCAGCCGCGCAGGCTGCTTGAGTTTGCTGTGAAGATGGATTACCCGCTCCACCTCCTCTACCTTGGTGTTTTGATTCATGAGTCCCCTCGTGTTCTAGAGGTTGGTGGTTTTGTTTCTGATATGATTCCCCCTGGGAGGGGTATCCTGGCGGGGTGCATGCAATCCATGTCATGGGTTAAGATTTACTTGTATGAGATCCTGGACTTGGCTCAAGTGCAATATCGCCCCGTCCAGGTTAAATCCTATGTAGACGATATCACCCAGTCTCAGGCTGGAAATATGAAGGATATTTTGGACTCTCTAGTGCCTGCCGCCATGTTGTTGACCCACCAGCTTGAAGAAGTTGGTTGCACCATTTCTGGCAAGTCTGCTCTTGTGTGCAGCCATACCGACCTCGGACGTGAGCTTGCCGCCCGCTTCAGGGCGACAGGGTTGCATATTCAATTACAGGCTGCAACTCGAGATCTGGGGGTCATGACCACGGCGGGGACAAAGAGGTCTACTGTGAAGTTAATGCAACGACGTCGCCAGGCCTCCAAGAAGGCTGAAAAGGTTGCTTTTCTGGCCCGTATCGTTGGATCCGCGAGGCGATTGTATAAACCTGGGGCCCTTGCTGTCGGCTCGTGGCCCCACCAGGTGTTGGGGCTTACTCCAGGGCAAATCCAGTCTATGAGAGCCCAAGCGGCCATGTGCAGTGGTAGATGGAACCCTGGGGCCTGCACTACCACTGTCTTGGGGCTTATCAGTCCTGCCAAGGATGACCCCCAGTTTAGGCTTCGCTATGAGCAGCTTGTGAGTTTCTACGATGTATGGCAGGACCTTGCGCACGCAAAACGGCTGGAGGTTTCGCGATGCTGGGACATTGTAGTTGAGAAGTTCAGCAAGACCAAGCATCGGTGGCAATGTGTGCGTGGTCCTTTGGCGGCTACAGTTCCGGTGCTCCTTGACCTCAATGTGGTACCGCGTAGCCCAGCATATTGGACTCTCCCCAATGGAATGCACGTCCGCCCCAGCGACCAGGCTTCCCCCCACACCCTCTGGAGCACGCTCATGGAGGTGTGCGGGGACACGTCGTGGAGCGGGGCTGCAAAACACTATGAAGGAGCTGGTTTAGGAGGAGGGGTTGATTTCACTGCCCCTCGGATGTTTTTGAGGAAACTTGAAAGGGAAGGCTCTTTTGAAGCCGCTGGAATGATCAGGAATGTTCTGACAGCTGGCTTTTGAACTGAGGACCGACTTGCTAAGGCGGGCTACGAGTCCTCTACTAATGGCAGGTGCCCTAGGTGCGGCCTCGAGGCCGAGACAGCAGCCCATCGTTTTTGGTCCTGCAGATGTAATGATGATATCCCCGACAGCGCGATCGACCGATCGAATGAGTTTAAGGCTGAAGCTCTGAGTTCTGCTGAAACCTCCTGTTTCTGGATGCGTGGGCCCCCGCCCTTGTCCGCCAGTGTTGGCCACCTTCCCGAGCCCATGGAGCTCTCTTGGGATTGGGGAAAGTTAAGTGCGGGAGCTCGCGTGGAAGGGGGTGTCTGGGGAATTGACGGCAGTGGAGGTAGGTATCATAAAGACTGGCGACTTAGGCGATGCGGATGGGCGATCGTCCACCAAGGTCCAGCAGGCCTCTTTGACGGTGTAGCCAGTGGGACACTGCCATCTAAGGTGCAGTCTGCTGGTCGGGCCGAATTATTTGCACCTGTACAGCTGGTTATGCGCTCTACTGGCAATGTCAGGGTCTATTCAGATAATATGGCCGTCGTGAAAGGTGTGCGTCGCCCCCTAAGTATGAAGGCTAAATCGTCGATGCTTGATCTTTGGAAGACTTACCATGAGGTCCTGGGGGCTCGGGGCGGCGCGGTTGATGTTCGATGGACCAAAGGTCACCCCACCCAGGCTCAGGCGTTTCACATGGTTTTGAGTGACACTGAGGTCTACCTCAATGAAGCCGCTGATTTTTTCGCGGGTAAGGCTGCTGATGCTGGCCAGGTGACAGAAGATGCGGCCCAACGGACCCTTCAGGCCGATGAGCGGGTTTTCAAGGTTTTGGGCCGCCTTCTGTCCGTCCAGAGGGAGGTTTTGTTTTGCTCTGATCGTGAGAAAGTACGACGAATAGGACGCACCCGTGCCTCTGTGAGGTCTCTGGAAGAGCGACTATGCAGGCTCCGTGACTCAGGTCATGACTGTGTGGTGCGTTCCTCGTCCTTTAAGTGTCGGTTGTGCGTACGCTCGTTCGCACGTCGAGGCCCCCTCTGTGAATTTTGGCCTTGTATTTGCAAACCCCGTGCTGAGATAAATCAGCGAATTCAAGCCCTCCCTGCTAGGAGTGCACCAGACCCTCTTGGCAGGGAGCCCTCACCTCCTCCTGATGATCTTGGGCCTTTGGAGGCGGGAGTGGGTGGGGGAACGGATCATCCCGTGGCCGAGCTGTGCCATGCCTCGCATCAGCTCGCCACTCTCAGAGGAGTATTGTTTTGCCAGGTCTGCGGGTGCCACTGCGTGGAGAACCCAAGGAACCTCAAGGTGGAATGTTTGCCAGCCACCCGTGCTGGCCACGAAGTGCTCAGCCGTCTGAAGAAGGGATTGCCTCCTAAGTCTGGAGGAAGGTTCCCTGATTTGTGATTTGGCCCAGCGTGCCCCGCCTAGCAGCAGGTCACCACGCATAGCGGTAGAATAGAATAGAATAGAATAGAATCCTCCTCCTCCTCCTCCACCTCCACCTCCTCCTCCTCCTCCTCCTCCTCTCCTCCTCCTCCTCCTCCTCCTCCTCTCCTCCTCCTCCTCCTCCTCCTCTCCTCCTCCTCCTCCTCCTCCTCCTCCTCCTCCTCCTCCTCCTCCTCCTCCTCCTCCTCTCTGGGTTTCTACCGTGCGGCAGAGACCCAAGGACCATCCGAGGGCGCGCTGGCCGCAGGGACCAGCTCGCTGCCAAACGAAAGGGAGGGATTGGGAAAGGGGGGGGTGCGAAATCTGCTGCATGCAGCTGGTTTCGGCCTCACCGAGGGGCCCATTCCTCGATACATGGCCGCCTCCGGCGCCGGGAGGCGCCGGGAAAATCAGCTGCGTGAGCTGATGCTCGAATTCCCCCCCCCGTTGCTATCCCCCCCTTTCGCCCGACCCGAGAGGGGGCGAACAGAGGTCAAGACGATCGACATGGATACGGAAAGTGCGGGCACAGAGACCGACAGCAATTCCTGCTCGTTCTGAACAGGACTCGCTGTCTGTGTCGCCGCGGAAGGTGTCCACTGGAGACGGAAGGTCGCCTGCCCAACAGCGGCCGCTGTCTGTCGGTTTTGGACAGCATGTGTCGTTGGGCATTGTATTCATGTTTGCTGTACCCACTTCGGGCGCCCAAGACAGAGTGGTTCCTCCTCCTCCTCCTCTTCCTCCTCCTCCTCCTCCTCCTCTTCCTCTCCTCCTCCTCCTCCTCCTCCTCCTCCTCCTCCTCCTCCTCCTCCTCCTCCTCCTCCTCCTCGACCTGGAATCGCCGATACATTGCCGATGCATCGGAGGGGCAGCCTTGGAGAGGGGAGGAGGCTCCGGAGGGACGCATCGGCCCCCAATCGCCCATGGATCGCCGCCGGGCCCGACGGGCCCACCCCGCCCAGGGCCGCGCGGCTTCGCTGTCGGGAGCCGATCGCCGATCCATCGGCGATACCCCGCTCGTTCCAGGTCGACGTTTCCCCCCCCGAGCTGGTCCCCCCCCACCTTTGACCCGCAAGAGGGGTGCGAGGCTCGAAGGTCGAGCTCTTGGTGGTCTGGCGCTTTCGGCAGCTTGACTCGGGCCTCCGGGACTGCCACAGGGGACTTCCAGGGAGTGCGGCCAAAAGGTTTGCCGTTGTGGGGAGCCGATATTATTCCTCCTCCTCCTCCTCCTCCTCCTCCTCCTCCTCCTCCTCCTCCCTCCTCCTCCTCCTCCTCCTCCTCCTCCTCCTCCTCCTCCTCCTTCTCTTCTCCTCCTCCTCCTTCTCGTCCTCCTCATCCCTCCTCTCCTCCTCCTCCTCCTCCTCCTCCTCCTCCTCCTCCTCCTCCTCCTCCTCCTCCTCCTCCTCCTCCTCCTCTCCTCCTCCTCCCCTCCTCCTCCTCCTCCTCCTCCTCCTCCTCCTCCATCCCCTTCGTCCGCCTCCTTCCGTCTCAATTTTGCCTCAAGATGCCAGGTTCCCAGCGGAGCCAAACGGATACAGGTAGGCCGCGGCCGGATCCTGGCTTTTCCCAGCCATTTCGCCGAGGTTTGGATATTGTCGCACCAGCGTGTGCCAGGACTGAATGGACCCGAGGTCAGCGCTGCTGACATTGAGCGGGGGGGGTAGACTGAGGCATCACCATCCCCTTCCTCAACAAGTGTAGATGCCAGACAAGAACGACAAGAAAGACAAAGAGCAAGAAGTAAGCGAAAGTTGCTGTCATTCCTCGCCGTATTCGTCGGGGCGCTGACAACGGCGGCCAAATTCCTGAGGTTACAGGCGACCCCACCCTTCCTGCTACGCCGCGGCCAGGCAGGTGGTTTGGTAAGATGCTAGGAAGAGCTGGGGATTTGGATGCGCCTGGAGAAAGACCACGGAGTGAGAGAGATCGCGATCACCTATTGCTGACCCCCGCCCCCAGTGTTCAGGAAGAGGACGGCTGTGCCTTCGTGTCGGCGTTTTTCGACGCACCGACCCTCCCATCTCCGGCGTCGCAAAATGTTGGCGCCCGCCTTGTGCCCGTCGGAGGAGGTGGAGGCCAATTTCCACAGCCATGGCCCCTGCCTCATGCCGGACATGTCCATCACCACGTTATCCCTTCCTGGCCTCGCTCAGTCCCCTGTTCCTGGTCAGACATGGAGAAGGATCTACAGGACCGCATCAAGTCGACGGCAGTGGACGCGCTCAAAGAGACGATCGACTCCCGAATGCATTCGATCGCGTCGACGTCGGCCCAGCCACTGCTCAATACTTCGAAGAGTACATCCAAAACCAGCTCGGAAAATGCGAGGCCAATCGATTTCGCGGAGTCGGACGTCACTGCCATCAGATGCGTTCAGGAGGAGTGCGAAGTCAGGCTCAAGGCGCTGGAGCAGGGGCCTGATCTCAGGAAGCAGCGCGCCCACGTGCCAGCGGCGCGCACGGGCGAGTGGCAACCCGCACTTGATCAGACCGTTCTCATCGTTCGGGCTCGGGCAGATGTCAGCTTTGAGAGAGTTCTGGCCGGCCCGAGCACACGGCACGTGGACGCCGGCCACTCGCCCAGGCAGGGGGGGGAATTTCTCGGCGAGCAGTCGGGCAGATCGTTCGCTTTCAAGTTCAAAGGTGCGCCTGTGAAGACACAGGCAGGCATTGCGTTGGCGGCTGCGCCGCTCGCCGCCGGTCAATGGAGGTTGTCTTGCCGCCGTCGACCCCGGCGGCCGCCCCGCCCCCCTCGATGTCTGAAAGAGCGTGTTCTACCGTCGGAAAACCGGGGGGGGTCACTACGGGTTCGAACCCCTCCCCCCCCCCTCCATCCGGAAAACCGGGGGGGGGGTCACTACCGGTGCGAACCCTTCCCCCCCCCCCCCAGCTCATCATGAAAAGGGTGGGCGGTCACTGCCAGTTCGAGCCCCCCCCCCCCCCTCGAACACGAAAACCGGGGGGGGTCACTACCAGTTCAAACCCCTCCCCCCTCAAACCGAGGGGGGGCGCGGACAGTGGCGGGGACGGCGGCGGCGGGGACAGCGGCGAGGGGACAGCGGGACAGCGGCGGGGACAGTGGGACATTAGTGGGGACGGTAGTGGCGGGGACAATGGTGAGGACAATGGTGGGAACAGCGGGGACAGTGGGACAGTGGTGGGGATGGTGGTGGTGGGGACAGTGGTGTGGGGACAGTGGGAATGCGGTGGAAACAGTAGGACAGTGGAGGGTACAGTGGTGGTGGGGACAGTGGCGAAGGCGGTGGCGACGACGCCGGTGGGACAATGGGACAGAGGCACAGCGGGGACAGTGGTGGGGACAGTGGGGACAGTGGTGGGACCAGTGGGACAGCTCAGTCAGTGGGACAGTGGGGACAGTGGGGAAAGTCGTGGAGAAATTTGCGAGAGTGGAGCCGCGGTGGGAACAGTGGCGGGGACAGTGGGGACAGCGCGACAGTGGTGGTGGCACTGGTGGGGACAGTAGAGGCGGTGGTGGAACCAGCGGGGACTGGTGGTGAGGACAGTGGTGCTGGGAACAACAACGGGGGGGGATGCGGCGAGGACGGCGGGAGGGACCGGTGCTCGTTTGCTGGGGGGGCGGGGGGGGGGGTCGAACCGGTAGTGACCCCCCCCGGCTTTTCGACTTCGAGGGGGGGGGGGGGGTTGCCGGGGGGCGGGGGGGGGGGGGGAGGGGTTCCAGCAGGGGAGGGCGACTTTCGGAGGGGGGGGGGGGGGCTCCCGGATTCCGGAGGAAAAAGGCGGCTATTTTCCACAGTAGAGCGGCGGTGGATCACGCTCTCTCCGATGTCTCGGTTGAGGGGAACACGCGATGTCGCGCGTGAAATCGCTTGCAAGAAGATCGGGAACGACTTCTGCGCGCGACGCGGTCGCCCTGCGCACGCAGACGAGCGGGCAATTTCCACGTCGCGGGAGCGGGCGCCCAGAGTGGAGGCGCGCCCGACCAAGCGCTTAATGCGCACGTGGAATTTCGATGCGTCGGCCAGCCTACAGCTCGCCGACACGGGCGCAGAGGACATGGCGAACCAGGCGCTGGGACATCAAGAATGCAGTGGCGTGGGCGACGGAGTCTTCGAGAATTCTGATACGGTCGCGCCTGCGACGTGAAGCACCCGCTCGTCGACGCACTACGAGAACAAGGTCACGGCGAATAAGGCTTGCGAAATTGACAGGTTGCTGAATGGCTGCGCCACGGTTGCGCCGCCGGAAACGCACTGCTCGGCATTGGATGCGACGACTGCGCTGCGGCCGAGACTTTATTTACTCCCACGACTTCTTGGACGCCCCGTCCTGCTGCCCTGCGCGCTGGCGGGCTGTTCGCCATCGCGCCGCGCAGCAGGAACATCAGTGATTTGTCCAAGATCGCGTTGGTACCAGGTCGCGTCGCGTTGGTTACCGCTGTCGCAGGTTCGCAGGCGTGGCGCCGTTGGAATATCCAGTATCCCCGTGTTGAGGCGTCGGACATGAACTCGGTCTGTTCTCTCCCACGCCGACATCGCGCCCTCGCGCGCGCCGCCCACGACCGCGTCTCCGCGCGCCTGGCCGGGGACCTCAACATCTCGGATGGCGACGTCGAGGGGTCGACGTCTGGGGCTTGGGCGACGGCGGGCGATTCGGAAATCGATGGTGGAACATGACAATGGTCGCCCCACCCACTCACGCAAAAAGCATCTAGTGTCGTTGCGGATTGACAGGATCTTCTGACAGAATCTTCACGAAACGCCGACCTGGTTGGCCATCCGCCACTTGCAGTTCATTCGCCTTCTCAGCGAACCAGCGGAACTCGATGGGAGGGGCATCAGCGGTCGCACTGGCTCGGGCACTTAGATCCGCGCATTAACGCGGGCGCTCTCAACCAGCCCCGAGCTTCGTTCCCCGACCGGCAGCCCTCAAAGGGATGGCGTGCAAGTTCCAGGGGGGCAGCGAAGATTGGCATCGATCAGCGGCCAGCGGACATCCCCGTGCGTCTTGCTGTTCGTGCTCAGCGCGCCGCTGGCCGAGTCGCTCGCGATGTGCCGATTGCTCCTGCTCGCCCATGGCCGCCGGGGCGCGCTATGGCCTGGCGCTCGATATCGCGAGCGGTCGCGAGACGGGATGCTGGCGCGGTCTCCGCCTTCGACGCCCATGGCTTCGCGAACACGCGCAGGCTGCGAATGAGGAGGCCAGCCCTTCGACGCGTCGCCCAGGCGCCGCTGACGGGGGGCCACCTCCTGGATCGCGCCCCCCGCGGGCGCGGCCGCTCGACGAACGCCCCCCCCCCCGCCCCACCCCGCTAGTCCCGAGGCTTTAGCCGCGCCCTTTATCGAAGCCCAGCGCGCGGGCGCCCGCGGCGAGACCCCGGTTGCTCGGGCCTCCAAGAGCGCCCAGAGAGCTCGCGGGCAGTCCGCCCACCTCCTCGAAGCGCTCTGCGGCCCTCCATCGGCGCGCTCGAACACGGGGCCCCGCTGGCTGTCGGGGGGCCCCGGGCGCCCTCGTCTTCGCCAGCCGGGAAAGCTCGCAACCTCGCGGATTTGCGGGCCCCGATCTCCCCACGGAGCTCCTCGCGCCCCGCTGGGGCGGAGCGGCATGGAGAGCGTTTTGCATCGAAGCTCTCCGGCTCGGAGATTCCCGCGGCGCGCGCTCGACTCGGCCCCCGGGCCGAACGGGCTAGTCTAGCGCATGGGCACTGGGGCACGGCCCCCCCTCGGCAATGGAAGCACTCTGGGCGCTCGCAGCGGGCGAAGCGCCCCCAACTCAGTCATTCGAGTTGCTCGCGGCCACGTTGGCCGAGGGCGATCAGCCCGATGACTCCGAGGCCGCAGCGCTCACGCGCGCGGCAGATGAAACCAGGCCTCTAGCCCTGAAGAACACCATTGACCAATCCGTCGCGGCGGCAACGCATTTTCCGCCGTCTGCCATCCTGAGCTAGATTAGCCTTCAGGTCCAAAACGGCCTCATGGAATGGAGGTCTTCTCTGCGGAACGCGATGGAGCTGTATGCGCGGGCGAGGTCGGGGTCGATCTTCAAGGGCCCCTCTCAGCGCGGCACCCCACCTAAAGAATGGCGCCCGCTGCTTCTCGCGTTGGATTCCCCCCCAGCGCCCCCAAATGCACCCCCGGCCCGTTTGAAGCGAAGATTGCGCAGTCTTGCCCCCCCGTCAGGGATGGCCCGCGCGGTCGTCATTCTCTATGAAATGCAACGGTTGAAAGTGGGAGTGACGTTTATGCCCTTCCTCTTTGTCTTGGCTGGCGCTCTCCAAAGGCGCCCTTTTAGCAGCTCGCTCTGTCTAGCTGCCTCCACCCCATCCCTGGCCGACGCGGAACGGGCGGGAGACCCCCGCGGCGCGCTCTCCTAAGGGGGCGCGCGTCGACGATATTGGCGCTGTCGTGCTCACCGCGACGGACCTGTGCAGGCTCGGCGGGACGCCCTCTCGCCTCGGCGCTTGCCTCTCTTATCCTCAAGACCCGCAAGTGCAGGTCGCGCCGTGATTTGGGGACTTCTCGCCCGACGTCGAACGCCAGGCGCGGGAGTTGCTGGTTGGCTGCGCGGAGGCTCGGCAGGGGCCCTTCACTGCCCACAGCCATGAGTGTCTGGGCATCCTCCTTGGGCCGCAAGTCACCACCCGCGAGCAGCGGAAGCGGCCCTGGGCCAAAATTAAGCAGGGAGCGCGGCCGGCGAGCGACTCGTCGGCTGATGTTTCCACTGATCTTTTCTACAATCGCACACGTGCGTTGCCCGTTCTCAAGAGCTTGCAATTGAAAATCGTCATTGGTTCGCATCGTCGCGGCGGACGGCCAGGTCGATTCCCGCGCGGGATGGACGGGCCACGGTTGGGAGGCGGGCGGGGCCTGATTTCCCCTCGCGCAGGGGCGGCCCTTGTCCCGATGCGCTCGCGGCGTAGGCAACTAGACATGATTCTGGATGCCTTCGCCGACCATGGCACTCCGGCT